CCTGCCTGAGCCCTGTCAAACAGGGCACAGCTGAAGCTCAGCATCTCATTTGGACATAACATGAGGTGCTTTTGTTTTCACTTTCACCTCTTCCTAGATTCCCCATTGCCCCAAATCCCTGGGAAAGATGTGATCCTGAGCTTTTCAGTCATTGGAGCCAGCAGGGAAGGGAAGGGAAGCTGTGGCAGCCCTGCCACCATTTGCTGCATCTGCTCCTCCTTACATCACTTTCACCTTCACTCAAATTTGACACAGCACAAATCCAATCTAGAGAGCTTTACATGATTTCAGGGTACCAGGCAGGCAGGGTCCCATGGATGGACCAGACCCAGGTGGGTCATTTCATCCCAGCTAAAATATGGGCAGTCAGATGGAGAGTAAGAATAGTCACATAAGTGAAGATTTGGGGGAATTTTTGCTTTCTTTTACACAGATTTTTTAAGTGCCCCATCAGCTGAAGCAGCATTTAATAAGAAATAAATTATGGCTGGCCTGTCTTGGAAGTGTTCAAGAAAGGGTTGGGAGCAGCCTGGTCTAGTGGAAGGTGGTTGGAACAACATGATCTTGAAGGTCTTTTCGAAGCCAAACTATTCCATGATTCTCTGACCCCTTTAGAATCTCACTGTATCTTAAAATCATAAGGAGGGAGCTTGCAGTGGGCACAGAAATAAGGTTTAGTTTTGGGACATATTTCCCTCCTCACCCCACCTGTGGATCTCAGGCTCACTTCACCTGTGTCTCCTTGGAGGCTGGCTCTGATCATCACCATCCAGGTGTTGCAGCTTCATTTTCCCCAATTTTTCAGAGATTCCATAATTTCCATCTTCAGAAATGCATTTCCTCAGTGAAGGGTGAGGTAGTGACTGGACTGTCCAAAAAATCAAGTAAGAGGCTACTTGTTAAACAAAGCTGGTGTCTGGCAGTGAGGAGAGCTTCCAAATTCTGGGTTAATCCCCCCAAACTGGTGGCGTTTGCTCGGATCAAGGTAGGTGGTTCTCATTTGGTTGCAATTCCTGACTGGCTGGCAGCCTGCAGGTGGAGAGGAGCCAAGTTTTCTGTGGAGATGACAGTTTGCTAACAGATGTCTGATGTTTCCCAACACGGTCAGGATGGGAATCAGGAGCTACTTCAGCAGAGCTGAGCAGTTGGGTAATTGCAAACCTTTGCTCCTCACATTTTCTTGTTTATCTGCTGCCTGGGTAACACAATTATTTCATTATTTTTGTTGTTGTTCATAGTTTTAGGATGCAAAGCTTGAAATATCTCTCAGAGCAATCACCATCCTAGAAGGCAGTGGCTCATTTAAATTCTGGGAAACCTCCACGAGTGTGAGGAGCCACAGGATTTCCTCTCCCCTTGGGCACAGCATTGCCCAGATATTTTGGCTGTGGCTCCTGCACTGCCATTTCAAAGGACTGGGACAGTGGAAGATAGAATTTCCCAAGCCCCAGCTCTTCCAGAGGAGCTTTCAGGAGATTTCTGCCATTCAGATTCACAGGAAATCTGGGAGAAGAGCTTGGAGGCTCTGCAGGATGCTCCTGCCTAACTCAGAGCTGAACATCTCCCGTGCTGCTCTCTGAGGTCCCACTCTGCTGTCAGCTTCAGGAGTGGGCTGTGAGCTCTGCCAAGGGTGGGCTAGTCTCAGGAGGTGACAAAAACCTGCTTCAATAAGCAAAAATTTCCATTAGGAGCACACTAGGAGTTGATTCCTGGTGTCCCACCAGCTCCTCTGAAAAGCTCAGCCTTCATTTTAAAAACTCTTTATTAAAGAACAGACTGTTCATTGCTGTTGGATCACACATTTCCTGCATATTTTCTTTTTGTGCACTTCCGGCTAGAATTTTCCAGGCATTTTGACCTGGGATGAGCAGCACAATTACCAAAACATCCAGGGAAAGGCTCTTTCTTAATTACAGCTAATTCCACTGGAGACAAGCCCAGAAATTCCAGTGCAGGAAGTTCAGGCCTTGTGTCTGCAAAGCTCGAGTGTGTGCCTGTGATGCCACTTGTGCCTCCAAGGTGTCTTCCCAGCACTCCTCCCATCAATTAATTCAGGAATTTGAACTCTTCCAGAGTCAGAAAAGCATTTGATTATTTGGAAAGTCTCCAAGGACTGGCATAAGGCTGGGATTTACAATAAAACTGCCTTTCTGATTAAAGAGGAATGGTATGAGGTTGTGGCATCTCCAAAGTGGAGAAAAGCACCCTGCCCAAGCAGAGGTGGATCTGTCCCGCAAAGGGATGAGTTATTCCCACTTCATCCTGCAGAAGTGGGGTCAAACTATCCCTACTCTCATCCCAGCTGTGTTCTGTGGAGCTGCTTCCCTGAGCACATTGCCCACACATCCTGGGGGCTCTCCTCCCTGGGGCTGTGGCAGAGCTGTGTGCACACCATGCTGTGCCCTGTGCTCTGGGATGGCCCTGCTGGAGCAGGGAGGTGACACCACATGTGGTCCCTTCCAGCCTGAGCCAGCCTGTTAATACCCCAAACATTTCAGACTGTTGCAGATTCTTTATCCTGACCCAGAACTGAGCATTTTTCTACAGAAAAATATTAACGTATCAACTTCTCCATTCCTTAGTACTGCCCTCCCAGTGCCTCTTTACTTTGGGAGGTAAAATCAAACACCACAGATGTTTTTTACCATTGTTCTGTTGAGCAAGGAGCTCACGCTGCTCAACTTTGGGAGTTTCTGTCAGGGAGCAGCACGCTCAGCTTCAGGAATTTGGAAGGAATTCTAAACTTCATGATGAGGATCATACCCCTGGGTTCTGATTTAGCTTGGGAATATTTGCATTTTCCTCTTTTTTCTGAAGATGTTTATCCTCTGTCTTAGCAGGTTTGGAATGCATAACAACCTAATTTACAGGAATTTGGTGTTTAAGTGGACTTGGACTTTTGTAGCTGGGAATAAAACAGAATTCCAGTGAGACTGTTAGTGGGCATGGGAAGGGCTTATTTGCTTGATTTTACCTGTGTTTTGGTTTCACTGCATGTTTTTGGCATTTCTTTGAGGGTTTGGAGGCTTGTTGTACTGCATTTAGAAAAAAAAAATGCATCCAATTTGTCTCATCTGTTGTGCTGCACTTGTGTGTTCTCACTACATCCAAGGAGTGTGGCAGAGGGAATTAGCCAAGGGATTCTCAAAGCAATCCCAAGAATGCAGCAAGTATTTTTCTAAGCAAAATAATACAGTTTTTTTTGACATGTTCCAATGCAAATCCAGAATATTTCAGCTTCCTTATCCAGGAAGGTGTCCCTGCCCATGGCAGGGAGGTTGAAATCAGATGGTCTTGAAGGTCCCTTCCAACCCAAACCATGGTGTGACCCTGGCCCTGAAATTTTACATCTGTCTGTGTGTTGGCAGGAAATTTTCCACACTGGGATTTCATCTTCCTGGCAATCAGAAATCATTAAAAGTATTCAACTGCTCTGTCCATTCATCATGGAAATGAGAGGCGCTCACTGCTCTGTCAGCCCTGAAATGATGGCTCTGCTGTGCTTTGAAAGGGGACATTTAAATCCTTTTTAAGTGCCAGCTCAGCGTTCACCTCGTGATGAGCACGGAGGGATCAATGAGCAGCTGTGGCACACAAGGTTATCCCAAGTTCACAGCGGGCTCTGAGCTGATTGGCTTCCAAAGTCAGATGCATCAGGAGCAAGGTCACCAACAGGATCTGGTGACAGCATAAAAAATAAAGCAGAGCTGAAGTCATTTGTTGACAGCACCCCCTGGGAGAGAATTATGCTTTATTGCCTCAGATTTGGGGCTTTGTGATGTGACCTTTCACTTTGTTGGACTGCTATTTGTAGGTTTCCCTTTTCACTTAGAAAATGATGGAGTTTTGCTCTCTCTCCCCATTGGCATTGAGGTTTTAAATAGAGCAGAAGGGGTGGTCTGAAGGCAATCTGTTAATGAAATAATCAGTGTGGGAATGTCCCAAAGCTGGCCAGGTGGCCACAGGAGTGGGATGGTGGCTCATCTTCCCACTGCTGTTACCCTGCATGAGCAAAGCCTCCAGTGATTATGCCCTACTGTTAATTGCAAGCTGATCCAGCTAAAATGAAGCCCTGCACCTTCCAGGCCTCCCTCCATAATCCAGCCAACTTTTTTCCCATAAAGTCACCCACAGCCAAAGGTCGGACACACCCAGGGACTCTCCAGCAGACAAATGTCACATTTTATGGAGGGGGCGGATCCTGCTCATCCATTTCCCCTCAAGCCTTTCTAAAAATACCCTAAACCTTAACAAGGAGCTATTTTGGAGGAATTATGGTCATGGATAGGCATGGGAAGCTGATTCTGGCAGGCTTGCACGGGTTGGAGTTGCGTGTTCCTTGCTCGGGCACGTGGTGTTGTGGGGCAGCTGGCCATGGGATAAACAGAGAGCATCAGGATTTTGGGACCTCCTGGCTTGGGATGGCTGCTCTGAGTGGGTTTATAGGAGGAGAACAAGTGAAGATATCCTTATAGGAATGTTGAGCTGTGCCTGAAGTCATTCATTTCAGGCATTTGCAGCTTATCAGATCTGATTTCATAAAACCTGGCTGGGATTTCTCTCCAGGGACCTTTAGTGATCCTGCCACTTCCAATAAACATTTATAGAAACTGCTGCCAGCCTATGGATATGAGAAACTCCTAAGAGAGACTTCTATCTTGCAAAAATCCTTAAAGGCACCAAAATATTTACAAGCAAACCTCACCCAGGAGAAGATGGATAGAAAGTGCCCAGCCTTGGGAGCTGGATTGCGGTGCCAGGCGTTGGCTTTGCACCCTCAGTAGGGATGTTTGCTGTTCCCCCGTGGAAAACCTTTCCTTCTGGAACCATGCTGGGATTGGGAGCAGCAGAATGCTGAGCTAAAAGTGAATTTTGAGAGCTGAGATGGAAGTGCAGCAGGTAAAGGCTGGCCCAGGCTCCCACAGCTCAGGGGCGGCAGCGCGCACTGCTCAGGTTTGCACCTCTAAGAAATTTCCATTTTTTCGCCTCAAAACCTCCAGATACGAAGCCGAAGCTGCCTTCTTTGCCAACCTGAAACTGTCGGATTTCAACATCATCGACACCCTGGGAGTCGGAGGGTTCGGGAGAGTGGAGCTGGTAGGTGACCTCTTCTTCTTTGTGTGGCATCCTCATACAACTGCTGTGTTAAAGGCTTAATTTTCTTTGTTATTACACCCCAATAACCCTGAGAAAAATGATCTGCTGGCATTATCTAGTGAAGAAAGCTGACTTACATTTCCTGAGACATAAAAAATGTACCAATAAATGCTATGCAGTAGCCAAGGAGGATTTATGTCCTAGGCTGAGAGAGGAGCACACATCTCCTCTCTCTCTTAAGTGGTTTATGACATTGATTTATGGCCTTTTAAAAACAACCTGGAGAATTGGCTGAGTGCTGGGATTGGAAGAGCAACCTAAAATCTTATTTAACCAGATCCAGAGTAACACTAGAAAGCCTCTCCTACACATTTTTTATTCAGGTCTAGAGTGGTTGCACTTGCTTATCCTCAAAGTTAACATTCAGCACCTGACCCATGACAATACATCCCCGACAGGGCCTGGTTTTGTGCAGAACTGTAGAGAAAAGATAAAATCCGAGCCTGCTTGGAGCTTTGGAGTTCTGTGGTCTCCTTTAAAGCAGATCCAGAGCGAGAGGCGAGCTGTTTGCAGCACCAAGGCAACGCAAAACCTTGGAGTAGGAAGAGGGAGTTGGGTTACACCACGGAGGAGCTCTGGACACCGGACACTCCCGCAGTATGTTAGGAACTCCTGCAAGCCCGGGCACAAGGGGAACAGAGTTACTGTTGCCACCACAAAACCTCCACTCCATAACCCTGTGGGAGCTGAAGAATAGTAAAAGGGGAAAAATGAGGTGGTTTTGGTGGTTATTTGTGATGTAAAGAGGAAATTTGGTATTCAGAGCTCAGCTTGGTCTTCCCTGTGGTTTATTCCTGACTTTTCCTGGCTGGATGTGAAATCCTGTGGAGGAAAGAACATCTGGGGGAAAACTGGTCCCTTCCTGGGTTTTGGGGTTTAGTGTATGATTATTTTGTTTATGAGTATTAAATTTATGAGTATTTTGAAGGAGTCACCTGCTGAGGATGCTTTAGAGCAGGAAGCCGTGCTCAACCTCTCTTTTGAAGTCTCTCCCTCCTCTCGTGACAAAAGGGATTTGCTCCCTAAATTAACATCCAGCTTCTCCACCCTCTAGTGAGGGGACCCACCAGTCTGGGGCTTGGTTGGAGCCTTGTGAAGGTTTTGGGTTAATTTTTAAGGGGATTTGCCAACCTCAAGGTGTTCCTGGGGAGGTGCACGAGTTTGTCTCCATGAGGGGTTGCTGGTGGGACCCTCACCAGTGGCCATGGCCATGGCCATGACATGGACACCTTTAAAGTGACCAAAACTCCACCCTGGTGATGTGAGGCCCTGGCCCAGGTGAGAGGAAGAGCAGGAGGTGCTCTGTCCCTTCAAGGTGTCAGCTCGAGTAGAAATATTCCATTCTGAGCAGATGTTCACACCTCAGAAGCCTCCAAGAAGCCCTGGAACCACCTGAGGTGGGCAAAACATTCCCAGAGGTTTTCTTCTGGGGTGGGTGCCCCTCTCCTGAGCAGGAAAATGCTGGATAAGCTCATTTTTTGTAGCTCTGAACTGCACACAGATAAAATATACTTAAATGTGTAGCTCAACACACCAGATTTTGTTGGTTTTTCTTTACCACAGAAAGAAATTTTGTTATAAAGCAAAGAATATATTCCTTTTGTCAAAATTGAGCCTGGAATTGCTGCCTCATGCTTCCACCTCCTCCATTAAAAATATGGTTTATTGCTTCGGGCTAAAAATGTTAAATATATCGAAGGAATTGGCTCTTTTATTGCCTGAATGTGGAAATGAAACAATGTTCCTGGAAAATATTCACAGTTTTTGTGCTTTCCAGGAGTAAAATGGATCAAAAAAGTGAAGGATGTGGCAAGGAAAAGGGATTTTATAGCTTTGGGCACAAAGCCTCAGAACATCACCACTGGAGAGGGCAACTGGTGGTGGCTGGGGGCGCAGCTGGAATGTCTGGGGCTGGGATTGGCCAAGAAGGAATAACATTCCCATTGGATGTGGTTTTCCAGACACCTCTGGGAACACTGGTGCCTTGGAGAGGTCGCCCTTTCCATGTATCCGTGCACAAGGATATGGCTTTTAGGTCAGACAGCCTAAAATAGAAATTATTTTTGATTCCACGGATATTACACATGGAAATCCCCTTTTGTCTTGCTTTTCCAGGCAGTTTTGTTTTCTGTATCTCAGAAAAACATTCCAAAATTTTGGAATGAGTGGTTTTTGCTCAGGTTTTTGGTGGCTCCCTGGTGCCTCTTCCAACATCCTTATGGATGATCCTCTTCATTCCAAACTGGGCTATGCAATTGACTTTTATCTAGGTTTTTCTTGAGGGATAAACCATCCAGGGTTGGAGAAACCACAGCAAATGGCAGGAGCAGGCTTTTTGGGATGCATCCACTCCTTTTTACACCTCAGCCTCCTAGGTTTATGTCAGCTGAGCATCTTCTGGGGTGGGATCCAGGCTTAACGTTAGGAAAACAGGAATTTCAAGTGCCACTGGCACAGGGAATGTCACCTCATGTGACAGGGATGGAGGACAGCTGTCCGCAGCCCTCAGAAATCATCTCTGCTCTCACCTTTATTGCTCTTGGCTTTGTTCTTTAATTTCCTTTTCACTCAAGTCCTCTGCTCCTGAGCATCTGCTCCAGGTCAGTTCTTCTGGGTTTAAATCAAGATTATTTTGACAGCTCTGAAATAAATACATTGGAGTAGCTGAATGTCCAGGATTGGAGTTATTTTTCCATGGAACTGGTGCCTATAGGTGATAGGTAAGCACAGAGAGACTAAAAATCATATCCTTACCTTCTGCACTCCTTCTGGCTTCCTGGTGGCTCCAAAAAGTAAAATTCCTTTGCAGTATGGGGATTTCTAAAGACACAAAGAAAAACATGCACATAAAATGTTGCAGCCATGTTTTATGGGCTCTGTACAAAGTGGACACAATGGAATTTTTCATCTTTATTTGTGTTTTAAGAGAAATCTGGCCCCAGCTTCTGAAGTGCAATTAAATCTCTTCCAGCCTCCAGCCTGTGTTGTAAACAAAGCCGTTAGTGAATTAATTAGATAACGAGGAAAAACCCGGTGCAATTGTCTTCTGATAGGCTGACAGATGCAGAATCCAGATATTTATTGGTGGAAATTTCCAACTGTATCCAATTCCCAAGCCAGCTGCTTTTCCTAGGTAATGTAAAGTTTTTTATTGGAAAGATCATTTTTCTCTTGAAAATCTCCTGATTTCTGGGCTTAATTGTCTGGAATTGCCTCAAGCTGTGCCAGGGGAGGCTCAGCTTGGACAGCAGCAGGAATTTCTGCATGGAAAGGGTGCTCAGGCCTTGGCAGGGGCTGCCCAGGGAGCTTTGCAGTGCCCATCACTGGAGGTGTGCCAGGAAGGGCTGGAGGTGGCACTCAGTGCTCTGGGCTGGGGACAAGGTGGGCACTGGGCACAGCTTACCTGGGAGGGATTTTCCAGCTTCAGTTATCCCAGGTTTCTGTGAGTTTTTTAGCTTTTGAAAGAATGGATCTTTTAGTTGCTATGAAGGAGGGGAAGATTTGGGGATTTCAGTGAGGAATTTGAGATCAGGTGCCCAAGAAAATCCCAAACTCATCTGACATCGTCACTCTTTCCGAGCTCAGCAAAATCCTGGGGATGATCTGATCATTTTTCTGTCCCTTCCCAACATTTGCAGCGTATTCCTTTCTCCAGCATGTGCAAGATGGTTACTTTTATCACACCACTGCCATGTTTTCATTTCCCCTGGTTTTTGAATTCCTGTTGAAACTAAACGCATCCTTTGTAGAAGGAAACACATCCTAGGGCTTGTCTGTTCCTGGAAAGGGTCTTTGCAAAGTTTGGAAAGATGGGATATGTTGGGAGTCCATAAAATCTGGGCAGAGGCTGGATCAGGATATGAGCTGAGCCAGAGATTTCAGCTTTGGCTGGAGGCAGGAATTAAACATAAAAATAGGTTTTTTATTTCAGACAAATCCAAACTGGGAAGCAGAGCAGGATCATATGTGGGATTGTTGGAGTTTAGCTCTATTTGATATTTCTAAGACCCCACAGCACTGAGTTTTTCCATTTCCCATGTATTTTAGCCATAGAATCCTTCTTCCTCTATTTACTTTTCTTTGGAATGATTTTATACATTAAACCCTTGACCACAGCACTGAGTTTTTCCATTTCCCATGTATTTTAGCCATAGAATCCTTCTTCCTCTACTTTTCTTTGGAATGATTTTATGCATGAAACTCTTGATATTCCTCACTGCTTTTTAGCCTTTTGCTTCCAGACATTTCTGCAAAAATCATTTTTACCTCTGGGCTTTATAGGGAGACAGAATTTTTAATATGTTTTAAGATCTTTGCCCTTTACTCATAAAAAACTTGGCTGTATTTGTTGTCAAGCAACAAAAATCAGTTTTCAGTTCAGGGATCAGGATGTGGAGTTAAAGGGGTTTAGCACAGTTGAGTATTTGATTAAAATTTGTTAAATTTGCTTTTTTGAGTGTCTTCTTAGTATATAATTTTGCAAATTATTTTTGGAGTCTCATAGTGCTCCAGTTTGGATAGGAAATTTAGGGCTTTCCCAACTAGTGGAATCTGGATTGCTAAAAAAAAAAATAAAAATTAAGTCACTGTCATGGACAGTTTCTACCCTGCTGCCCACTTGGAATTAATTTTGAAGGATTCATCCTTCAAAATTCAGCCTACTATGTGTCTTTTAGACTTCACTTTTACTCCATTATTTTTCTTCCCATCTTCTCCTAAAATCCCAGGATGGTTTGGGTTGGAATGGACCTTAAAGCTCCAAAATTCCACCCCTGCCATGGGCAGGGACACCTTCCACTGTCCCAGGCTTCTCCAAGCCCTGTCGAGCCTGGCCCTGGACATTTTCAGGGATCCAGGGGCAGCCACAGCCACCCTGAACCATGTCTTAGGTAGGGTTTATTTAAGTCTTGACTTATTTTCCAGCCTAACCCAGCACAGCGTGTTCTGTAGCCAATCCTAAATTAATGTTGGGGTTGAGGCAGGGAGAGGGAATCTAATTTGGATATGCAAATTATCATTTCTCGCTAAACTTAGGCGTGGAGAGAGGCTGGATCTGCCCTTGGGGAAATGTGGAAAAGCCTCTAAAAATCCTTATGGATCATTTGGGCTGGAAAATCCCTGCCAGCCCATGGAGTCCCAGCTGTGCCCAGTGCCCACCTTGTCCCCAGCCCAGAGCACTGAGTGCCACCTCCAGCCCTTCCTGGCACACCTCCAGGGATGGGCACTGCAAAGCTCCCTGGGCAGCCCCTGCCAAGGCCTGAGCACCCTTTCCATGCAGAAATTCCTGCTGCTGTCCAAGCTGCTCAGCCTCCCCTGGCCCAGCCTGAGGCCCTTTCCCCTTCTCCTGTCCCTGTTCCCTGGGAGCAGACCCTGACCACTCCTCTGGCTGATTATGGGGAATTCTCTTCCGTTCTGGGAGAAGAGGAGCCTCTTCAGTAGGAAAAGCAGGCTGTCCCCTCTTGCTGGGACAGGAGCAGTCACTCTGTGTGTGCAGCAGGGCAGCTGTCAGGATTAGGAAAGCTCAGCTTGCAAACGCTGCTCTCAGCAACAGCTGCTGCTATTTTTGTTAGTTCCACCAGATCAAGCTGGGAAAGAGGGAAAATGCAGGACCTTGGGAATGGCCAGCAAGCAGGAGCACTTGGAATTCAGCTCCTAAAGTGCTGCTGTTGAGTCAGTTCTTTTTTAATGTCATGGGGAAATAGCCATATTTTTCAGTAAAGCATGGATTTCTGGCTCCTTCTATTGGAAGAATTCCACAGGAAGCAAAACTCCCTTGGAAAAACATCTTTGTTGTTGTGGAAGTTCAGAAGGACACAGAGGGAAACTGTGGTGAGTGGGGAACTCAAAGCCCATCCAGTGCCACACCTGCCATGGGCAGGGACACCTTCCACTGTCCAAGGCTGCTCCAAATGCCCAGCCTGGCCTTGGGCACTGCCAGGGATCCAGGGGCAGCCACAGCTGCTCTGGGCACCCTGTGTCAGGGCCTGCCCACCCTGCCAGGGAACAATCCCTTCCCAATATCCCATCCATCCCTGCCCTCTGGCAGTGGGAAACCATTCCCTGTGTCCTGTCCCTCCATCCCTTGGAAATATCCTGGAATGTTCAGTCACAGAAATAAATCCTTCTCTGGGGGCTTGTTCTGCATCCTGGTAAATATTTATGAAAGTTTCCACTTTCCCAAGGTCAGCTGGGATTGCATCAGCACGGGAATTGCTGGAGTTGCAGACTGTATATCACACACATAGGGATGATTTATAGGGAATACAGGCAGGGAAGGAGGAAGGATAAGAAACACATAACTCTTTTTTTCCTCTTTTCCATTGAGCTCTGGGTTTCATCTTCTCAATACCTGTTTTCCCAGCCAGCCTGAGAATGCACCAAGGTGTAAAACCATATTTATTTCTGTGACAGTGTTAAACACCAGACAAAAATCAGGCCTGGTGTTCTCTGTATGTCCTGGGAACTGCAGAAGTTCCATAAAGCAAAGGAAGGATTTTGGAGTGGTTCCAACAGGAGGATCCAGCTGTGATCCTATGAAACAAGGATATGGAAAAGCCAGAGAGGCTGCATCTCTCCTTTTTGCTCATAAAATTCCAGAGTGGTGGAAGGGACCTTGAAGTCCATCCCATTTCACCATTCCTTCTGGTGTTTATATGGGGATCCATGAGGATACTCTCTGTCCTGATATTTCCATGGGGATCCCCTCCCTCTTGGTGTTTCCCTGAGGATCCCATCCCTCCTGGTGTTTCCCTGATCCCTGAACTATGCCAGAGCAAAGCAGGTGGACAAGAAACTGTTCAAGTTCAGGGTGTGTGGCCTAGGAAAAGCCTGGGGGGGAAGTTTGGATGACATTCCCAGGAACATGGTGGGATTATTGATGTGTCTGAGGGCCGGGAGATGGAGTGAATTATCCTTGAGGGGCTCTTCCAGCTCAGCACATTCCATGGTTCTGCAAAGGTGCTGTGTCTCCTATGCACCCACATTCCTGTCAGCAAAACAATACAAAACCAGTCCTGGCATTAAATTAATTCTGATTGTGTGAGTGTTGCCTCCTAACCCTAAAGGCAGGCTGGGTTTCTGACGGGGTTCAGTGACAGCCAAGCTGCTTCCCTCTGGCAGAAGCCAAATTCCTGCAAGGACACCCAAACAGAAGTTGCCAGATGGCACCTTGTGCTCGACAGGGGGGAAAGCACCTCACTGGAATATTGTTGTGAGCAGCTGCCAGGGGAATTTAGCAGACTTGGAGGCCTGGGAGGTCAACAACGGGGTTTCTTTGAGAGGGTTGGCCAGGATGGGAAGGGTGGCTGCCTACCAGCTGGCTTTGGGATAGGGACCTGCCCCTCGGGGTGGCTCAGGGTTCAGAAGTTGCCAGGGTTACCCCGAGAGCAAGCAAACAACTCCTGACAGCCTCAGCTTGGGGGACTGGGCTAAAAATAGGGGGTAGAGTCTTAAGGTGAAAAGCCAAGCCATGAGCAGGGAGTGCTGCTGGGAAGCCAGGTCTGCTCATCCTCCGCAGGCATCCCAGTTCTGCAATTCCCAGCCAGAGCTGCTGGGAAGCCGGGTCTGCTTATCCTCTGCAGGCATCCCAGCTCTGCAATTCCCATCAGAGCCAGCACAGGTGGGGTGACCTGGTGGAAAGCGGCTGGGGAAGCCAGATGTTAACTGGCAACATCTCCTGACCCCAGAGCAACACCCACATTTGGCTTTTCCCTAAAAATCATGGCGTTTAGAAACAGCTTTTTTAGCAATGAGGCATACAGTCAGCAACCTGGATGATGACTGGAGATGTGGGAGGAACTCCTGGAAGGCAGGCAGGTGGGATTGCTGGCAGGGAGGTGGGACTCCAGCCGGGCTGTGGCCTGTGTGTGACCCTGGCATGTCCTGCCGTGTCCAGGTGCAGCTGAAGAGCGAGGAGGCCAAGACGTTTGCCATGAAGATCCTGAAGAAGCGGCACATCGTGGACACGCGGCAGCAGGAGCACATCCGCTCCGAGAAGCAGATCATGCAGAGCGCCCACTCCGACTTCATCGTCAGGTACCTCCCCCTGCCCCAGGCCCTCAGCGTGCCAGGGATCCCCACAGGGATCAGCCGTGGCAGGGAAAAGCCTTCAGCTCCCTCCTGTGAGGGAATGGAGGTGTGGAGCACGAGGAAGGTGCTGGGCAGAGCTCGCTGGTGCTGCCAGATGATCCACGTGGAATCCCAGGGTGGTTTGGGTGGGAAGGGACCTTAAAGCTCATCCACTCTCACCCCTGCCATGGGCAGGGACACCTTCCACTGTCCCAGGCTGCTCCAAGTTCCATTGTCCAACACTGGACACTGCCAGGGATCCAGGGGCAGCCACAGCTGCTCTGGGCACCCTGTGCCAGGGCCTGCCCACCCTCCCAGGGAACAATTCCTTCCCAATATCCCATCCATCCCAGTGGGAAGCCATTCCCTGTGTCCTTTGACCCAACTCCCTCTCCAGCTCTCTTGGAGCTCCTTTAGGCACTCGAGTTACCGTCAAGAATTTATATATACATATATAAATATAGATATGTATTTATCATGACTTGGCTTTGCCCCTGCTCAAGGTTACTTTTCCTTTTCCTTCCCAATTTCTGAGTTTTCCTTCCCACTAAGGGAAGCTGGAATTCAAGGCTTTATCCTTTGAAATGACACAGTGCCATGATAATGAGCAGCTGTGTCCAGCATTTCTCTTTAGGGAATATTTGACGACTCGAGTTCAGCATCCCTGGACTTCTCACGGGCAAACACATTAAAACCATGTCCCTGCCCCAAACCTAATCACATCTTCAGGGAATAAAAGGGGTACTAGGCATTTTTGGTTGTTTCTACCCTAATAACACCATTCAGTCTCAAGCAGTACCAAGGGAAATATAGGCTGGATATCAGGAAAAAGTTTTTTACAGAAAGGGTGATAAAGCTGTGGAATGGCTGCCCAGGGAGGTGGTGCAGTCACCATCCCTGGATGTGTTTAAAACAGACTGGATGTGGCACTGGGTGCCAGGGTTTAGTTGAGGTGTTGGGGCTGGGTTGGACTCGATGATCTTTAAGGTCTCTTCCAACCCAGCCCAGTCACTTTGTGAATTCTGTGAATTCCCTGGCTTTTCAAAGACTGTGAGGACAGAGAGGGAGTTCTTTCAATGCTGTAGGTCAGGATGGAGCAGTGGGTGCTGAGGATCCCTGGAGCCACCTTGAAGAGCATCCAAGCCAAAGGGGCCTCATCCCACTCTCAGAGATACTGGAAAACTTCTCTGCCTTAGGAGATCAGCCCTGCTCCCAGAAATTGCTCAGGAGATGCAAACAAACCCAGGGTGAAACCAAACCCCTGGGATGAACCCAAAGGGAAGCACGTGGCCAGGCTGGGGCACTCAGGGGGGTGTTTCCTTCCCAGGCTCATCCCTGGGATTCCCTGGAGCCCATGGCTTCTCCTGTGATTCATGGGTGACAACTGGAGCCCGACACTGCCCAGCTGCCATTCCCTTCAGGATGTGCTCTTGGATCCAGAAGCATTCCTTCTAACCCAGGCCAGAGCCAAATATTCCCTGTGGGAGGTTCCAGCCTCTGGATTTTTGGAAGGCTGAGCTGTTTTGGGATGAGAGGGGAAGTGCAGGGCCAGCCAAGCCACCATTCCCAAAAATACCCACTCCTAAATAGAACCTGAGCCTCCAAACATTTCTTAATGGAGCCAGTGATATTCATGGCTGATAAATTAAATTCCCACTCTTCATCCTTCAGCAGGGAAGCAGAACAAGGATGTTTTACCTGTGCATCTTCTCCTTCCATATCCTGCAGTGCTTCCCACCTTTTGCAATAACAACTATCCCTGAATTATATTTAATATTTAATATCCCATGGAACCCCTGCTCTGGGAAGATTTCCGAATCACAAAGTCCAACCTTTTGCTATTGCTAGAAAATGTTTGATTTATCAAACTTCTCCTCTTGCCCATCTGCAGGGATTTGAAGTTTTCCTGTAGTATCTATCCTAAAATTATTCAACTTTATTCAATAACTTGTTTATTCCATTTCTTGGACCAGCTGGGATAATTTTTTGAGGGGGTGGGATCAGCAGAAATTTGAATATTTCAGTAGATTAATTCAGTTTTGAGCTGATAGGTAAAAGGTGGGTTTAAAATTATCTCAGAGCAAGGACACAACCTCTGGGATATTAGAATGGGAAAGACAAAACTCCTGAAAAACTTGATTGTTTTCTTAATTAATTTTGTTTGTTAAAAAGTCTTTGAAGAGTAACTGGGTTTGGTTATTAAAATGAATTAAACCAGGCAAAAGAAGGAGAGGCCAAGTAGGAATAAATAAAATTGACTTCTACATAAACTAAAGCTCCAAAAGAACAAAATGCTCTGGGTTGGATCAGGGGACAAACAAGTGCAAATATTTCAAGGAATAAAGAAATAAATAAAGAACTTACTAAAATATTGTGTCATTTAAACTTAGGAAGTAATGTCCTTTCATGTGTCTAAACTTTATGCTTCCATGATAGCTGATAAATAAAATTTGATTTTTTTTTTAATCTGTGCATTTTAGGTCAGATTTAATGCCCATAAAATTTTCAGCAGGGCTGCCTTAATTAAGGAAAGTATTTCAGTACTTGGTAATTTGTATTACCAAGCAATTAAAACTATGAAATTACATTTTGGATTCTTGAAGTCTTCTGTAAACTTTAATGGTGATTAAATGTGTATTAAGATAAATGATATTTTGTCCCAGTGGCAAGAAATAAGTGAGGGTATTTTTGATAAAACCACCAATTTTAGCATTATTTAACGGTCAGTTATAACTGACCATTGGTTTTATATAAATAGAAATGGATGTCTTCCAAAGGAACCAAATTCTGCAGTGTTTTCCTGCTGATCTATCCCACAGCTCTGTCAAAATAATAACTGGGGTGAGCAGGGAAGAGCTGGAATCTACAAAATCCACCTGGTTTCATTTCCATTGTGTGACGGAAGCTCTTGAATTTTAAACTCCTGGAATTTTTAACTCCTGAAAACTGCCAGGAATGCAGGAATTGCACCAGGAGTTGCCCTCAACATTCCTTTCTGATGTAGAAATCGTTAAAATTATTATCCAAAAATTACAAACTAATTTCAAAAAGTAATTACTTAATTAATTACAAAAAAATTTACAAAAATTAAAATTACTATCCAGACTATCTGCAAGGAAGCCTTCCGTGTATCCACACCGTGCTGGAAGCCTGGGTGGATAAAGCCAAACATGGAACAGGAAGTACAAAGGCAGCTGAACATTAAAATAAAGTAAAAAAAAAAAAAGAATCTCTGTGTTTTTTCACCATACTAATTTAATATTATTAAACACATCTATAAATTCAATTAATTTAATATTATTAGAAAATCCTGTTGAGCACAGAGCAGGGATTTAAGAGCACAGTTCAGAACTCGGGGATGGGTTCACAAAGCCTGGCTCATCCTTTGAGGCAGTTTTTCCTCTACATTCCTTCCTGGGAGGGAGAGGAAGAGCATTTCAGCTTCTTTAAACTCTGTCAAAGCAGCGAGTTTAGGGCTCAGATAATGGATTTCTTTGTGATTTTCTGGTTGCCACCCTCAGGCTCTACAGGACGTTCAAGGACAGCAAGTACCTGTACATGCTGATGGAGGCCTGCCTGGGGGGAGAGCTCTGGACAATTCTCAGGGACAGGTGAGCTGGGCCTTGTCCTGCACAATGGGATGTGCTAAATGTCACAATTCCTGCTGGAAGGGTTGAAAGGGTCTCAAAGCCCATCCAGTGCCACTCCTGCCATGGGCAGGGACACCTTCCACTATCCCAGGCTGCTCCAAACCCTGTCCAGCCTGGCCTTGGGCACTGCCAGGGATCCAGGGGCAGCCACAGCTGCTCTGGGCACCCTGTGCCAGGGTCTGCCCACCCTCACAGGGAACAATTCCTTCCCAATATCCCATCCATCCCTGCCCTCTGGCAGTGGGAGCCATTCCCTGTGTCCTGTCCCTCCATCCCTTGTCCCCAGTCCCTCTCCAGCTCTCCTGGAGCCCTTCAGGCCCTGGCAGGGGCTCTGAGCTCTCCCTGGATCCTTCTCCAGGTGAGCACCCCCAGCTCTTCAGCCTGGCTCCAGAGGGGCTCCAGCCCTTGGAGCATCTCCACAGCCTCCTCTGGACTTGCTCCAGCAGCTCCAGGTCTTTTTGATGTCACAGTTTTAAAATCACCATTTCCCATCTCAGAGCTTTTCCCACCCCTGTGCTTGCAGTCCTCTCTCTGTGAGTGGGAATCTCAACTATCAGCTCTGCCACATGGACACTGCTAAATAATATCCATAAATATTTCCAGGGATTTATGGCCCAGCCAGGACTGAGAGCAATGAGCAGGGAGAAATTGAGAGCTGTGCAGGGTCTGTTGGCCCAGATATCCCACCAGGGCTGCTGATTCAATTGGGAATCAGAATCCACACTCTGCCAGGAGCACTGGTCCATCAGGATGCAGCAGTGACATGGAAAAAAATGAGTTAGGAAATCATGCATGCCCAAAACTCCACAGTTCCTGCCTTGGGATGGGTCACCTTGGAGTGTTTGGGGTTCCTGGGAGCATGTGGGATGTGCCCACAGAGTAGGAAAAGATGCAGGGAATTGTAGCTCTGGAATAGCCTCATCACTGGAACAGAATTCCATTAAATTTGGAAAGATTGGCCAGAAAGATTAAATTGTCTTTTAATTTCACAGAACCATTTCTTCTCCAGTTCTCCCTTTTCCCAACAGCCTTTTTCTCACTGAAAGGGGAACTGGAGCAAAGTTAGAAGGTGCTGGGTGGGATTTTTCCTGATTTTTTTGTCAGAGCCTTCTAATTCCATCTTTAACTCTCTGGGATTTAAACTGAGGTTCTGCTGCCATCTAGCTTAGACACCCTCCTGGTCTCAGCCAGCCCCCAGCAGCCAGGGGGATGTGGTTTTCTTTGGAAAACTTCAGAAACAAGGAGCCAAAGGTGCAGTTTGGAATTTGCATTAACTCTCAAGTCCCAGCAGCTGTGATTTTATTGCCTTTTGCCTCAGTTAGGAACATTAGTACAGAACTTATCTGCACTCCTCAGAGGAGTTTTAGTACTCAAACCCCAAAGTTGTAATTAGAAAAAAAAATCTTTTTGCTTACAAGACAAGGATTTCTAAGTTTTATTTCTAAATTATAGAATAAATCTTAAAATAGTTTCAGATATTAGAGGCAAAGAGGCTTTTTCAAAAATGGAAATTTAATTAGATTGAGATATAAAAGTGAGTTTAACACCAGGAACTTTCCAGGTGTCAAAAAGTGATTTTACTGCAGTGATAAAAGTTTTAACAGCAGAATGAATTCCGTGGGGAAGGAAACCACTTCCAAGGATTCATCTAATGTCTTTATCCCCTTTTCCCTCCCTCCTTCCCACAGGGGTTCATTCGAGGATTCCACCACCAGGTTTTACACGGCATGCGTGGTGGAAGCCTTTGCCTACTTGCATTCCAAAGGGATCATTTATAGGGACCTCAAGCCAGAGAACCTCATTCTGGATCACCGAGGTTATGCCAAGCTGGTGAGTGCCAAAAAAAATCCTCTCAGGTTTGACCAGAAGGGGTGAGGAGCAAAGTCCCCCCCAGGATCCATCAGGAGATGCTGAGAGGAGATCAGGGCAAGGTGTTGTCATCACCACCAGGATGTTTTCCTGACTTCCAGCAGGGCTCAGGGTATGGCTGAGCTGAGAAATGCTGACTGAGGACACAGTCTCAAGCTGCACCAAGGGGAATATAGGCTGGATATCAGGAAAAAGATTTTACAGAAAGGGTGATAAAGTTCTGGAATGGTCTGCCCAGGGAAGGGTGCAGTCACCATCCCTGGATGTGTTTAAAACAGACTGGATGTGGCACTGGGTGCCAGGGTTTAGTTGAGGTGTTGGGGCTGGGTTGGACTCGATGATCTTTAAGGTCTCTTCCAACCCAGTGATTCTGTGTATCCTCTGAATTCTGTGATTCTGGCTTTGGATTCAGGTCCATGCTCCTGGAATGCTGAGAAAACAGCATCAGGAGAAAACCACCTGGCTATCCTGGGCAAAAAATGACCTCAGAACTCAGGAAAGACACTGTGCTTTTTAGGGGTACCCCAAATGGCCTGGTGAGAGCATGGAGAGAGGCAGGAGAGAAGAAATAGTTCCCTTGGTGGGAGGTGCTGCAGGATGTGGGCCCTTGGGAAGCCACCAGAGAAGGACAGGAGCCCTAAAAGGAGCTGGTCCAGGAGGGGCTGATGTCCCCTCGGGGTCATGGGGGGCCAAGGGCTCTGTGTCTTGGTCTGGAGGCACTTTGGGGACAGTAACTCAGCCCATCATCACAGCCTGGTGGCAGCCTCCACGTGTCACCTCCTGAGTGACATTGGGATTTACCCTCTGCAGCCTTTCCCTGGGCCTGGGGCTCCTCTGAGGTGCAGGGCTGTCCTTCTCCCACCCCAGGAGCATCCGGGACTGGCTCTGTGCTGGTCCCTCAGCAGCCCCCAGCTCCTCAGGCATGTCCCTGAGTGTCCCAGATCCCTGTGACCGTGTGGGTTCCTGACCAGCCCCAGAGGACTCCACTTCCCAGGATAATCTGATTTTCCATGCTTGCCACTGCTGTGGGGACACTGCCATAGGGCCACAGAGGGGCTGGTGAGCCCAGCACATCCCAGCAGCCAAACTGGGAGGGCCCTTGTACTGCTTCACTCCTGATGGTGGGAGAGGAAACCAAACTTGGCAGCAGGTGCCTAAATCACAGAATGCTGGAATGGTTTGGGTGGGGAAGGACCCTAAAACCCATCCACTGCCACCCCCTGCCATGGGCAGGGACACTTTCCACTATTCCAGGCTGCTCCAAGCCCCAAAGTCCATCCTGGCTTTGGGCACTTCCAGGGATCCAGCTTCTCTGGGCACCCTGTGCCAGGGCCTGCCCACTCTCCCAGGGAGCAATTCCTTCCCGGTATCCCATCCATCCTGCCTTCTCACAGCTTAAAACCATTCCTTGCCCATGTTAATTTAAATGTAAAAGAAAAAAAGCAAAATAAAACAACCTGAGCTGTGAGTGATATCAATTCCAGCCCCCAAGAAACCCTTGGTGCTGGAGTTTGCTTCCCTCATGGGAATTTTCCCAAAGATAAATCAGCAAAAAGGTCACTGTGGTTCCCTGGTCCTGGAACGACCCTTGGTGCTTTAATTGGGAGAAAATTCCCATGAGGAATCCTCCTTTCTGCCTTGCTTCACTTCAAGAGGAGCAGAGCCCACGGCTGACATTCCCTCTGATGCCCTGCCCCAACTCTCTCCTGCCCCTTCCCCCAGGTCGATTTTGGCTTTGCAAAGAAAATAGGATTTGGAAAGAAAACATGGACTTTTTGTGGCACCCCGGAGTACGTAGCCCCCGAGATCATCCTGAACAAAGGTCATGACATTTCGGCAGACTACTGGTCCCTGGGAATCCTGATGTATGAGCTCCTGACTGGCAGGTATGGGCATCGAAATTCATCCCAAGATTTCTGCCCTTCTCACCCTGATGAGGCCAGGGCAGGGGCAGGGCTGGGCCAGGGAACTCCACGGTGGCTTTTCCACTCAAATCATCTTTTATTTGGCTCTGAGTGGGCTGAACATGATGGGAAAAGAGGAAGGGTTTGGCCCTGAAGGGTCTGGAAATGGTAGGAAAAGGGGAAGGGTTTGCACTCAGCTGGGGAAGTTCCTCATTGCTGGAAAGGAGGAGGCAAATCAGGCACCATCCATCCCTTCCTGTATTTAATTTGGGATATCACTGCTGCTCTTGGCTTCCCACACCTCATCCCTCAGTGTTCACCCCCAGGAGATCCATCCCCTCCACCTGCCCATCCTTCACACACAGCCCCCCATCCATGGAAAGCCAATTACTCCCCACTGGAACCAGGTCCCACCACACAAAGATAAGCCAGGGAATGCTGCTCAGAACCTCCTGCCTCGGGCTGTTGGGATGCAGCTGCCATGGGAAGAAGAAATTTAGCATGGAAAACTTATTTTTGGTACTTCCCTGCAGCCAACATCCCTGAATTCCAGAGCTCCTTGAGAAATGGTTAGGATCATGGGAAGCAAAGCATTCCTGGTTGACATCTACCTTTTCTTGTCTGGGTATATTTTATCAGATTTCAATGCTGGTTTTAAAGACACATTTTTATGCAAGACAAGTTTTTAATCTTTTTTTTCCTTCCCTGTGCCCTCTGAAGTCCCCCTTTCTCAGGCCCAGACCCCATGAAGACCTATAACATCATATTAAGGGGAATAGACATGATTGAATTTCCAAAGAAGATTGCCAAAAATGCTGCTAACTTAATTAAAAAACTATGCAGGTAAGTGAATGTAAGAATAAAACAAAAAGCCTTGATATTGTTTGCAAAGAAATGAGCTGGGCAGAAGGATTTAGGATTTGTTCTTCCTCTTACAGGGACAATCCATCAGAAAGATTAGGGAACTTGAAAAATGGAGTGAAAGATATCCAAAAGCACAAGTAAGTGTCTTCTCCAGCAGCCATCAGCTCCAAACCCAGATAGAGGCATTTCAAACACCTCAATTTTCTCCTAAAATCCACTTTCTATCCATAATGTAAATTCATCCTCCCTTTGGTCCCATGGGAGGGGTTACTTGATGTCTTAGGAGTTTTTTGGGATAAGAACAGGTGAGAGAACCATTCCAGGAATTTCTCTTATCCATCTGTGCTGGATCTTCTCCCATGCCCAGAGCAGCAGGAATGGATTGGATGGATATTTTTTTGGGAAGGCTCAGGGCTCATCCACCCACCTTGAGCAAACCTGAGGAAAACCACGAGTGGGACATCCTTGAGCATGGATTTGGGAGTTAACCCAATTCCACAGGGAAAAAAGGTCTCCTGTGGGATGGATCCACCCTCTGGAAGGGAAGGAGCTGCTTCCATGACACCTGCAGCAAGGAATGGTTCCCATATGAGCATTGGCAATTTCCACTTGGGTGGTGTCACCATGGGGTCTCTGCACACTCTTCCTTCTTGATCCCCAAAAAAGATAACAGGAAAAATTCCAAAGGGATTTGAAGGCAAAGTCTGTGGGAGATAAAACCTGTTGTTCAAGCAATTTTCTTTTCTTTTTGTGCTACACCTGTCTAACTATTGGATTTTTCCCTCCCTTCAGATGGTTTGAAGGCTTTAACTGGGAAGGGTTACGGAAAGGGACACTGACACCTCCCATAATCCCAAGTGTAAGTTTTCCTATCATTATTTTCTCCTCCATGGCCAATTCCTGTGATGCTGTGAGCTTTGGGCAGTGGTACACTGGGTTAAGTGGGAATAATGTGTTTTATTTCTTCTGGAGATGCTTGAAAAAGTCACTTTAGGCTTGTTCCCAGCTAAGCTGGCTCTCCAGGCAGGCTCTTCCCTGGGAAGGCAGTGTGAGGAGGGCACAGGCATGGAGAAATCCCCTTTGTAGCAGGGGATTGAGGCAGGATCACCCACTCCAGCACATTTCCCCCTCTCTCACCTGCTCCACTTGTTTCTACATCTCCTTTTCCCATTTCCACGGAAAGCTGCCCCTTCCACCCCTTCTCTCAGCTGTGTCCTCTCCCTATCTCCTTTATTCTCATTTCCTTTGGAAAGGCAAGTGGGATTTGGATGCGATCTTCCTTTTCTTTCGCATTAACCTTCCCTTCTGTGTTGTCTTTTGTGCCTGTGCCCCTCTTTGCCCTGCATCCATGTCCTACATGAAAAGCTGTTGATGTTTAACCAGGAGCGGGCGCGGAGGGACAGCTCCACTCGTTTTCCTTTGCAGCAAAGCCCTTCCTTTGATGTCTTTGTGAGCTCTCTGCCCTCAAAGCCCCGCTGCAAAGGGAAACCAAACAGGATTATCTGACAGAAATTACCTCGGCCCCTTCTGTCCTGCAGCCTCCCCTCCTTGTTCCAGCTTAATCCCTCGGGATCACCGGGAGAATGCCATTAATGGGGGTTTAATTGCACCCCATTGCTCCATCCTGCAGCTCCTGCAGCAGGGGCAGGCCCAGCTCAGGGGCTGAATCTGCCATTCCAGAGTTTGCTTAGGGAAAGAGCAGGAGGGTTTCCCATCCCCCTTTTGTCCTGTGGGATGCAGGAGCTCCTGGAGCCAGTGGGGAAAGCAGGATTTGGCAAATCTCTCCCGTAACAACTCAGAAATGTTTTAGAGATCAAAACCGAGTTTGGCCAGGTTTTTTTTTATCTCTTAAGCTCAAGCTAGAATCCTGGAATGATTTGGGTTGGAAGGGACCTTTGAGCTCATCCAGTTCCATCATCTTCCATGGCATCTTCCACTATCTTCCACTATCCCAGGTTTCTCCAAGCCCTGTCCAACCTGGCCTTGGCCTATTTTTAATGCCTATTCATTCATCAGCAGGATCACATTTCAGTCAGGCAATAAAGTCAAGTTTGCTCCTTCACATCCAGTTGCAATTCCTGCTTTAGGAATGCAGGGTGTCTGTGTAGCCTGAAAAAAACCCAGGATGTATTCTTAACTGGTTTGGTGGATTTTTAGTTTAGAAGGAGCATTTCCAATACTGCTTTTGTTCCACACAGCAAGGCTGACTGGAATAAATGGGAATATCCTTCCCTCTTCCAGGACACCTCCAGGCTGGCCCTAATCCTGATTCAACCCAGCTCATCCTTTCCCTGGGCTCTTGGGAGTAGCAGCTCCTCCAGACCTACTCCTGAGATCCTCTCCAAGCCCATGAACTGTGAATTTTGTTAACCCCAGAGCTGTCAATCCTACTCCAGCTCATATTCCACAAGTTTTTCTTGCAAAGTCTCAACTGCCACTCTGAAAAGGGACCCAAAATACAGCTCTGGTGACAGACATCCATTTTTTCCTTCAATCCACTTCTCCTTGTTAGTTGGGAAAGAGCCAGCAGGACCAAACATACAGATTAGTTCATTTTTCTTTGGAAAAAAAAAAAAAGAAAAAGAAAAGAAGGTTTTCCCCAGCTCTTTAACCCTCATTTCTTAAGTGGCTCTGCCACTGAGGCAATCAAAGAGCTCTTCATCATAATGGGATTTTTGGAAAGATCCCAATTTACAACCTGGTTCTAGGACACTGCTGAGCCTTGATACCACAACTGGAATCTGTGATTTTACCCCTCCTTAAAAGCTCAGGACTCTTCCAAAGATGAGCTGAGCAAGCAAAGGATGAAGGAGCCCCAACAAAGTCAACAGATCCAGATAATCCAAAAGAAATTAAAACTACTAACATTTTATAGGATGGGGGTTTTTTTTGCCAAAATGAGCCAGGTATTCCACAGTCCTGATTTCCCCCAAGATGTGTTCAGCAGCAGGAAAATGCTGATGCAGTTGGGCAGCACATTAAATGTGGAGCTAGAGTTGCAGCTCCTGTCTTTTCCCAAGGCTTGCAGCAGCTTCCAACATCAAATGGGAATCTCAGGAGGGTTGACAAGGCCAAGGGCTTGGGGCAACCCCTGAGATCAATCCAGGATGGATACTGGGGAAAAAAATTCTTCCCTGGCAGGGTGGGCAGGCCCTGGCACAGGGTGCCCAGAGCAGCTGTGGCTGCCCCTGGATCCCTGGCAGTGCCCAAGGCCAGGCTGGACAGGGCTTGGAGCAGCCTGGGATAGTGGAAGATGTTCCTGACATGGCAGGTGGGACTTGATGGGCTTTGAGGTCCTTTTCCACCCAAACCATTCCAGAATTCTAGGATTTAATGACTGTGAGTTGGCTCCTAGCTTAGGCTCTCCCCCAAATGAAATGACTGAAAACAACAGCAAGTGTTTTCCTGCTCTGGGTAAAGCTTAACGTATTAAATTTCTAGTTAGACTTTCATTGTTTTGGGCTGGAGAATTGCTGGTTTCCTCTTATATTGTTTTTTAGTTTTGTTTTTTTGGGTTTTTTTGTTGTTGTTGTTGTCTTGACTTTATCAAATCCTTACTGTAAGAAAGTTTCTTTCACTGTCACAAAGCAGGAAAACCATAAATTCTATAGCCAGGGTAGATTTCAAATGTCATGATTTCAAAAAAAGAAATGGGCTTGGCCTTCATCATCGGAAGATGGGTTTCTCTGGAAGGATCCTGAGGCTGGGCAATGTCAGGAAACTTCAAGGCAGCATCCTGGAGCCATGGATGGGAAATCCTGGGCTCTGAGGACGGTTTTCCCAAGCCTGTTGTGATAACCTTGTGGCAACAGGTAGGAAAACTCGGGAGAGTAGAGGAGCTGGGGAAAATCCCTCAGCAAAAAGCTGTGGATGCAGCACTTCCCTGCCTTGCTGGGGGTTCTCTGGGACCCATGGCTGTGGGATGAAGAGGGAATGTCAGCCCTGGAATGAACCTGTTGCTCTTCCCCCCGCAGGTCGCATCTCCCACGGACACAAGCAACTTTGACAGCTTCCCAGAGGACAGTGACGAGCCACCCCCTGACGACAACTCAGGATGGGACATAGATTTTTAATGTTATTTCTCTTACCTGCTTCTGCCTTGCTGAGGACAGCTTTTCCTGGGACGTGGCTGCCAGCGGAACGGGAAGACCGGAATCGGGGAGGATTCGTGCTCGGGGTCACCATGATGCCTTGATTGATGCTGCTCCAGTAACTCCAGTGGCATTAGGACTTCTTGCTTAGTGACAATAGTGCTCTCCATGTTTTCTGTTGGAACGTGACCTGGCGTGGGCATGGTGGTCCTGACACAGAGCCTTGCTCCGGCACAGAACTCCTCTTCTGTGGCCACAGAGATCCTGGCACACTCTTGATTAGCAGAGTGAGAGATCCCTAGAGTAAGAGGCACTTAATTCCAGCTGCTTTTTCCGTAGGATCAGTAGTAACTTATGAAGTGCTGCAGCTACTCCAGTGCAGGATTTGGGCTATTCCCACTCTCCGAGCTCCACAGGGCAGCGTTGGAGCCCAGGAGGAGCACGGGCAAAGCACTCCTGTCAAAGCAAAAAGTGGGAAATGTGTCCTTTTCCTTTCCTAGCAGTATTCCTGACAAGACTGAATGTTCCCTTTCCTCTTTGTTTTGGAAACATTTTGGCTCAGCCTGGTCAAAAAAAGCACAACTGTTGCAGATGCTGTCAAGGCAGAGGATGGGTCGCTTCCCTCACATGGCAGCACCACCTTTGGGCTTCAGTTCTCCTTTCCCTTGGTACCAACACATGCATGGAAAGAGAAAATCGTGGAATGAATCCATTGTACATCTACTGATCCATTGTACATCCACTGATCCATTGATCTATTGTACATCCATTGATCCATTGTATATCTATTGATCCATTGTACATCCACTGATCCCTTTCACACCTATTGATCCATTTCACAGTGCTCCAGTCACGGTCCTGAGCAAAGCAACAGCAGCCCACAGTCTGATTAGGTATAAAATTAAGGATAACTTGGAGCTTTTTTAGGCTCAAAGGGAAAAGCATGAGACCTGTGATGTCCTCTCGAGGTGCTACATCCATTCCTCACCTGGGAAGAAACCTGTCCCTGACCCATCCTGTCAGGAATATGTAGCAGAGGCTCCGTTCTTCCTTTTGGTGATTCTGTGTCTCCATGTTTGCATCTCTTCCGTGTTTAAAGAATCTCATTAAAATAGAAATTCTGGGCCAGTCTGCTGGCTCTGGTGGAACATTGCCAGTAGTCCTTATGCCTCTCCAGGCTAAGGAGCTCCACAGGAAAGTCAGTGGAATTCAATGGGAAGTGGATATTAGAAGATCCCTGTGAGGTCTCCAGCGTGCCAGGTCCATGGGACTGTGTTTAACACAGGGATGGCCAAATCCATATGGAAAAATGAACTAGGGAAAACAATATTATCAGGATATGCTTTTCCCTCACTTCTACTGCTTTTCCTTTGCTTGAATTCCCTCCTCTGGTTTATAGAGTGCAGCAGAGGGATCCTGTCCTGGGTGCCCATTTGTGGCATACAGGACTGAAAGTTTATCCCATTATCCAACAGGAAACATCAGGTTTTGGTCTCTCTGAGAGACCTGGCCCCCAAAAAAACCACAGAATCATGGAATGATGGAATGGTTTGGGTTGGAAGGGACCTTAAAGTTCCTCTCATTCCATTCCACCCCTGCCATGGGTGAGCAGGTGCTGCCTTCTTTAATCTCAGCTGCCAAGAGCTGACCGTGGAAAGATCAAGTCTTGCTGACGAGGACTTTTCCCACATATTACATGGAAAAGGTCTGTTTGAGCAGTAAAAAAACCCTTCCCTGATGCTAAGTCCCAACTCTTTTGCATGTTTTTCATTAAAGGATGTAATCAAAAGGGTATTCTGACAGTGTGGGCCGTGTCTGCTTTGGTTCAACATGAGCTGGGTCGTGTGGCACCTTTGAAACCAGTCTGGGGCTCTGCAATTCCCTCTGTTTCCCAAAGGGTGAGGCCACACCTCTGGCACAGTCACTTCTGCTGTTCTTTAACCATTAAAACTTCGTTTGCCTTCAAAATCACAGGGAAAAGGCAGCACCTGCTGGCTTTTCCACCTTTCTCCAAGGGATGGACAGCACTGAGAGCCAAGGCTGAGCATGAGGGCTAAAACATTCACCAGGCATCTTAAACAGGCCTAACAGCCAAATGCTTCCCTCACATCCCCCTGGATTTTCACTCCATGGGGACAGCTTCCTCTAGGAGTTTGTCCCAGGATGGTGACACCTGGTGCAATTGGCAGGCAAGGAGGGCAAAGCACCGCAAGGATTTGGGGATCAACCTGAAAACGTTGAAGGAAGGAGGGTCTGGAATGGGCTGAGCAGTTGGGTTTCATTTTCCTGTCCCTTTTTTCCTTGTGCCAGGCATGGGAATTGACACCTACAGTGTGCACTGTGCTCTGAGTTTTTTTTTTTATATCAAACACCTCACTCAACTTCCATGGCCTCTCCTGAGCATTAACACTTTGCATATGTATATGATAAGCCTTCAGTTATAATAATATATTTAAGTTGCTTTATATATATCTCTATATATCCACAACAAGGGATTGCCTCTGTGTTTCCACCTCCTGTCCTTATTTGTTTGTCTCCTTTCCTGATCTATGGGACGACAGCGTTTTTAGGGAAGGGGGAATTGCCTCCCGTGCTTCCAGAGGGGGCTTTGATTGGTGTTGTGGCTTCTCCTGGAGCTGCATTGCCCACAGCAAACTCTTCAACAACAGGACCACGAGCAGATATTTCTGTAAATAGGTATTTTCGTGTCGATGTTTTGTGGGTCACACAGAACTTTCTGTTCCTTTCCAGTTCCATGGCATTATTCCTTCATTTCCTTATTTGTAATGTAATGTTTTTAGGTCGAGGTAGACTTGAATTAATGTCATATTTGTCAGTATGATTAAACTTTCTGTCAGCTGTCCTGTTCACCCACCTGTCCCATAGTTCTAGAACGTCACTGGCTATCTGGCATTGTTGCAAGAACCTTAAATCCATGGCATCTTATTGAAAGAAAAAAAAAAAAAGACAAATTTGGTGTTATGCTGCATGACAAAGACAAACACACCTCAAACTGTCGTCCTTTCTTAGCTTGCTGCGTTTTACAGTTCTTTCTGCTACCGATTTCTAAGCCTTTATTATCTGATCTCGATGAATTACAGAAATGATGACGTCGTTCTCTGATTTCTGTTCAATGTACCAGAGCTGTGTATCTGTTAATGAGATACAGAGTCATTTCTGTGAAATGTATAAATGTGATGTGCGGGTCAAATTAATCTCTGACATCCTAGCAGTCCGTAGACAGGTATTCCTGTTTTGCTAAGCTCTGCAGATCCCACCCATCCGTGCCGTCCCACACAGCCCCCTCTGGGGAATCTCCCACCTGGGAAAAATCCACCCTGCCGGCGTTTTCCTGGCCTAAAACCCCGGTGCAAAGACGAGGCTCCTTTGCACCACTCAACCAAACAGGATCTGTGCTTTTCCCTGCCCCTTTCCCTGCATCCACGGGGATGAGCCCTGGAAACTCTTCCTGGCTCCCCAGCCCTGACACCGAGATTTGGGCGCTTTTAGGGCTTTCTCAGAAAAAGGGGAAATTCCCATTTGGAGTTGCCTCTCCCCCTGAGTCCCGATTTATGCTTGTTTTACCCCAGCCCTTTGTTTTATCCTCTGATTTTCTCTCCTTCCATGGCAGAGGTTTTGTTTGTCGGGCCGATGTCGGGCACGCCCCGGCCATCGACCGCTTGCACTCTTTGGATGTTGACTGAGGAACTTTGGGTTTTTTTTTTTCATAAACTTCCATGGCTTTTGTTTCGCTCTGTACTCCCCCTGCAGCTGTAATTGCCGAGTGCCTGTTGTATACTTTATAGAGTTGAAATAAAAATAATTACTTTTGAACGGCTGTCAGTGGGTTTCTTCCAGAGCAGGAGAGTTTGGGAGAGATCTACTGGATGGTGGTGAAATGTGGGGTTACAGGGGTTCTGCTCCCAGAACTCGTTGTCCAGAGCACCTGTGGCTGCCCCTGGATCCCTGGAGGTGTCCAGGACCAGGTTGGACAGGGCTTGGAGCCACCTGAGATAGTGGGAGGTGTTCCTGCCCATGGCAGGGGGTGGCACTGGATGGGCTTTGATGTCCCTTCCAACTCAAAATCATTCTATGATTTGATGATGACACAGAGGTGAGCAAAAGCTGGGAGAAAGGAGCAACAAAACATCCTCTCAGGAGGGAAATGAATGTGGCAACAGCCCAAGGAGGAGCTGGCAATCGGCACCAATCATTTTGCGGGATGCAGCAATCGCAGGTCAAAGTTAATAATGCAATAAAAACCCCAGGGTGACGTGGCCCTCACCTGAAACTGCCAGGGGAACACCGAGATTTCGGGGCGAGGCGTGGCTCTCGTTATTCCAGGCTAAAAATAGGGAAGGCAGGAGGGGTGGCCGGGCTGTGCCGAGGATGTCGCCCGGCCGTGACTCAGCCGCCGCTGACGGCACCTGCCCGCCGTGCTGCCGATACCTTCCCAGGCAATTATTAGCCCGGCTTGAGCCATTCGGGGCTGGAACAGCTGATAGTGGATACCGGGACAGCGATACCGGGAGAGGGGGGGCGTTAATTGCAGGAATTGCGGCCTCCGGAATCCCCCACCCCGGGGATTTTGGGGGCGCTGCTCCGGCTCTGCACATTTTTATTTTTAAAAAGCTGAGAAAAAGAAATAAACGGGAGCACGGGCCCGCTGCCGGGAAAAGCCGGGTTAATTAACGGGGTTAATTAACGAGAGTTAATTACCGGAGCGGGGAGGGGCCGCCAGGGGGCGCACCGGGGCCGCTCTGCCCGATGGAGGGAATGGGGAGGGAAAAAAAGGGAATTGGGGGGGGGGAATTGGGAAAGGAGCCGGGGGGGCGACGCCTTTGATCTCCCCGCATCAAAGGGCCCAGAGCTCCCCCCCACCGACGCTGCCCCCCGCCCCGGCTGGGGTCAGGGGAGTAGGGGGGAGGACACCGAGAGTCCCGTCGTGTGTCCCCCCCCCGCCGTGTCCCCGCACACCGCCCGGCGCGGGGGGATGCGGAGCAGCCCCTCTCCTTTCCTGCAAGGCTGCGCTGGCGCCAGGAAGGACGCGGGGGAGGCGGCGGGGGGGGCGAGACTTAGAGGAGACCAAAGGACCGACTCTGCCATCGGGGGAGGGCGGGGGGGCTCTCTGCACCCACAGCGGCTCCCACCCACCATGGGGGCTTGCACAAGGGGGAGTGTGCCCCCCGTCCCTCTTCCCGGTCCCCTCCGTCGGGCGCGCCCGGCTGGAGACAGCGGCGGCGTCGGGGACTGCGGAGCATCTGGGGCGGGGGATGCCGGGGGGGGGGGGT